AAAAAAAAAAAAAAAAAAAAGAGTGAGAATGATGTAATAACAACATAGTTATTAAGCTGTAAACTCTGGGGCAGGAATCTTGGCTTATCTTACTTTCATTATTTATTAGCTTTATAACCTTAGACCAACTTCACTCCTCTCTGCATCAGTTCCTTATCTGTAAAATGAATAATAGAATCTAATGGTAAAAAATACTAATAGTATTAGATGTAAATATTAATCGAATCTACCTCCTAGGGTTGTTTTTCGGAGCATACGTGCAAACACTTAGAAGAGTGCCTACCTTCTACATAAGTGCTCAAATGTTAGCTGTATTATTCATTTTCATTTGTTATTGTTGCTACTGTTATTGTTATTTACATATACATATGCACATACTTACATATATGTGTATATAAATATGTAGATTTTTTTAAACCATCCAATACCAAGCTGTAGCAAATGCCATATTTGCTTCAGACTTTTCAACGAAAAGATTTGACTGAAACTTCTTACAGATTTAAACATATTAAACATATTACAGATTTGACTGAAACTTCTTCTGTACCTTTCCCCAGTCCTGTTCCTTTCATTTCCTACCCAGAAGTAACCATCACCCTAAATTTGAAGTATCATTCCCATGAAAGTCTATAGTCACCACTGTGAATGTAGCTATGAAAAAGTTTGGTTTACATAGTATGTAAATATTATACATCTTTTTCTGTAACTTGATTTTTTAACTTAACATTTTTTGAGCTATGTTTATGTTAATACTGTAGCTCTAGTTCATTTTTTAAATGTTTTCTTTTAAAGTTTATGTTAATATTTTAAATATACAGAAGTATAGAAAATAACGAACATCTATGTGCTCACAACCCAACTATCTTGAAATCTTAACATTATGTTGTATGTATGTATGCATGTATAATATCTATCTATCAATCTATCATTAAAGACACAGTTGATGAACCCCTCTGTTCCCTTCCATAATCCCATTTCATTCCCTTCCCAGCGGTAACCCTTCTCATAAGTGTGATATTTGTCATTCTTCCAATATTTTTTATACAATGGCCGAATATTTATGTATCTATAAAACTTGCTGTTTTGCAGGTTTTAAAAATCCATATGAGATTATTCTATAGCTTACTTTTTTTTACTCAGTTTTATGTTTTCTAGAATATAAATGTTGATATGTGTGCCACCAATTTGTTTATTTTAACTGCAGTAGAGTAGTCTAATGTATAAATATGCTGCAATTTAGTCATTCATTATTCTGTTAAGGGACATATAGTTTCCATTTTATTTTTTATTTTTTATTTTTTTTTGCTATAATCCATTTTGCAATGAATGTTTTTTTAATACTTGTATTCCTTGCACATGATCAAGAATTTCCATGGGGTATATACCAAAAAGTGAAACTGTTGCATTGTAAGATGGACATCTCAAGTGGTTATTTTCATTTACACTCAGTAGAATATGAGTATGATAAGGTTGAACACGTTTTCATCTGTTTATTGGCCAGTTGGGGTTTATCTTCATGATTTGCCTATTTGTTTGTTACCTTTGTCCATTGCTCTGTTAGGTTATTTGCCTTTTGTTGTTGTTGTATTTAAATATTCTTGGTATTCTTTGTCAATTGTTCGTATTGCAGATATTTTATCCTGCTCTGTAGCTTGTCTCTTAATTTTGTGTTTTGTCTTTTGTGATTTAAGAAATCCTTCCCTGCCTCTAAAGTGATAAAAGTGTTCTGCCATTATTTTTTCTAGCAGTTTTTCAAATTTGATTTTTTTTATTCATATCTCTAATCCCTTGAAATTTGTTTTTGTTTGTTATTAGTAACATGATTTTGTTTTTCCATATAAATAAACAGTATCCTTTCTGCACTATTTATCAAGTAGCCCTTCTGTATTGTAGTGCAACCTGTCATACGAGTATACTAGATATAACTGTCAATTCTACATTTTCTCTACCTTCTTATTCTTCAAAATTATTTTAACCAGTCTTTGTACTTTTCTATATGAATTTTGGAATCAGTTAATCCATGAAAAACACTGTTGAGATTTGAACTTGTTTGTGATTTTAAATGGATCTGGGGAAAATTGCCATTTTTATAAATACTGAGTTAATATATTTTTGTGTATGTATTCATTCATTTATTCCTAGGTACCTTAAGTTTTTGTTGCAATTGTGAATGAGATCTTTTCTCTATTGCATTCTGAATTGGTTATTGCTGGTGTACAAGAATGCCATTGATTGATTTTTGCATATTGATCTTATATTGAGTATCCATGCTGAAGTCTTTTATTAGTTTTAATTGTGTGTGTATTCTGTTAGATATTCTTTGTAGCAATCCTATTGTCTGCAAATAAGTCCAGCTTTGTCTCTTACTTGCTTTTCAGTTCTTATGTTTTATTTAAGATTTTTGTGTCCACAGTAATCCCCCCGCTTATCTGCAGGGGATATGTTCCAAGACTGCCAGTGGATGCTTAAAACCGTGGATAGTACCGAACCCTATATATACTGTTTTTTCCTATACATACATACCTATGACAAAGTTTAATCTATAAGTTAGGAACAGTAAGAAATTAATGACAATAACTAATATTAAAATTGAACAATTATAACAATTACTCAACTTTTCACTTAAAGGAAGCCCTTTACAGCTTCTCTTGAGCATATTCGAACTGCCAGCATCACTACTCTTGTACTTCAGTGCCATTATTAAGTAAAACTAGGGTTACTTGAACAAAGCACTGTGATACCAAGACTGGCGATAACCAAGGTGGCTACTAAGTGACTAACGGTGGGGATTGTGTAGTGTGGAGGCTCTGGAGGATGAGTCCCAAGCGGGATAGAGCAGGATAGTGTGAGATTTTATCACGCTACTCAGAACAGCATGCAATTGAAAACTTATGAATTATTTATTTCTGGAATTTTGTTTAATATTTTTGGACCATGACTGACCACAGGTACTTGGTACCACGGATGATGGCAGGAGGCTGGCTCATGAGTGAGGTAGATTGTGAAAAATTTTTTCTGTAT